GAAAGTAGAGGGGGTTGAGACAACTGACTGCATTGAGAAAAAGCAAGGCAGGGTGGAACAAGGTGTCTTACCAAAGCAGTGAAGGGGCAGAAGCAGGGATCACCTAAATGGGGGGGTGTTACCTGGCAGGTATAGCACAAAGGCAAGTTCAAGAGAGGCATATTTCAGATGCTTAACCAGGGGCTCCAGACCCCTGGTTTGCAGATAGTAAAGACTGCAAATCTAAAATATATTAATGCAACAAGGAAGGGGAGATGGGATAGAGGGATTGGTAAATTGTCTCTGTGAAGAAGAAGGACACTGCGTTATAAAGTGTGGGCCTGAGAAAGCTGGAAGGATTGGCAGGTGATTGTGGTCAGAGAATAAGATGTAGAAGTTTATATATAAGTTTTTAATGTGGAAAATATAGGGAAATGACAAGGCACCAAATGGATATTAAAATATAGTGGAAATGAAGGTCACTGGAGTTGAGGAGCAATAAACATTTTTTACAATGGTCCACTTTTGGGCATTTTGTTATTTAAGAGGACTCTAAGATTACTCTTTCAATAAAGAAAAATTAAAACTTTCATTTTACATATGAAGGTAATGTTTTCTAAGTGGAAAGCATCTTCTAAGTATGTGACTTGCCTACTGCCTATTCTCTGGCTTTTATTTCTATTTCTCATTTTTTCTACCCTATTACTGAGAAAAATTTTTTTTTCCTCCACTGAGTGATACTGATTGCCAGAGTAACAGTCTAAAACCTCCAGGTCTGTAAGACAGAAGTTAAAGTGTGCTTAAACCTTATCTGCCCACACTTCTGTCCTAGCTTTCCAGCTCTCCTTATCAAGGCTTCAGAGACTCTGCCCTGAAGCTCTGCTAATAACCAAGAGAGGACAAATTTATGGGGTAGTTGTAAGTTTACCTCTGAACAAAGCTATATCCCTACGAAGTCTGTTCCTCCTTACCACACCCAACTACAGCAGCAGAATGTGAAAAGGGGGAGGAGAGGAATTATGTAAATAATTACAGCACCTGGCATTAAAACAGTTGAATCGTAGTAGCCAACAATTCTGTTATAGATCCTCTACCTTTTTATAAATACATAAAGTACTTTAAGCTTCCTCCCTGAATCAATTCTCTTTTGTTTTCCCTCCAATTTATGATTGTTCCAAAGATTTGGAGATGTCTGTGGGGCAAAACAGATCAAAGCCAAAGGATCCAGTTCGTTCATTTATGCATACATTAATGTTTATTTTTATAACATTGGGGATTCTGCAGTGAGCAAAATAAGATAGGATCTCTGCTCTAGGAAGCATACATTCTAAAAGACAGAAACTATATTTGCATCTTTGAAATCCTACTAACTGGGATAGGGGTGTAGCTCAGTGGTAGAGTACTTGCCTTTACTTGCCTTGTTAGTGCCTGACAACGCCGGGCACTGGTGGCTCAAGTCTGTAATCCTAGCTACTCAAGAGGCAGAGATCAGGAGGATCTCGGTTTGAAGCCAGTCTGTGCAAATAGTTTGTCAGACCCTCTCTTGAAAAAAAACCCATGACAAAAAAGGGCTGGTGGAGTGTCCCAAGGTGTAGGTCCTGAGTTCAAGCCCCAGTACCACAAAACAAAACAAAAAAACCCAAAAAACTCTGACACCCAGCACCAAACACACACACACACATATGCCACAGAACAACTTATTGTTGACTGTTTATCATGAGCAGGACAGTTTATTATTGCAATATGTATCATGAACATTTGCTTTTTAAAAAAAAATCCTTCTTAATAAGTTCTCATTAGTCTAATAGTTTTTTTCTGAATCCAACCAACAAAACATACATAACGACAGATTTTTCTGTTTTCTACTCAGAGGAAAAGAAGCATATGACAGAAAAGCTCAAGGAGATTTGCTTTATAAAACTCCCAGACCCTCTTAACAGAATCAACTGAGGCCTGTGGAAGTCTTTTACAACTACAATTTTGTATGCAAGAGTTATATGCTATTTTTTCAACCAGCACTGCTTCCTAAATAGAGCTAAACCTATGAAACGAGATCTTTAGTTCTTCTAGAGATCTTCTTTTAGGAAGGTGGGTTTTGAGTGAACTGTTGTAGGGGAAACAGGGAAAAGTTAAATGATTACATAATAAAAAGTATCTGGGGAGGGGGTTCAATCATAAAGGAGAAAAACAGGAGTGAGAGAAGGGAACAGAGTCAACCACATTGTAGGAGTCTCAAGTTCTCCTTTGATAGTGGTCAAAATGCATTTTAAGGTCAATGTCAACACACCTGCCTTTGCAACCCTATAAATCCCATCTCCCCTTCTCCCAAAACTTACTTTCCCTTCCCCCCAAGTTTTCCATAGAGCTTACCACACATATATACACATACTTTATACAGACTCTTTTTCCTTCTCTATTCTTTCCTAGCTTCTCTCAGATACACCTGTCCACAAATGCATCACAGACATCTCGACCATCCATGCAGCACCTCACTGGGTTGGTCCCAAATTTCTTATCATCCCTTCCCTACCTTTACCATCATTTGTTTTTTAACCACTCCTTCTCATAGCCTCCAACACTCCACTAGCTCATTAATTTCATCACCACTAAAGGAACAACTAATATTTATTGAGCACTTGGAACATAACAAATACTGGGCCAAGGGCATTACATGCATAATTTCACTGCCTCCTTAAACCCTAACTCAACAGGTACTATGACTATTTCCTAAATGTTAGGGAATCAAAACTCAGTTGAGACAGTAATTCTAAGGGTAACTGATAGAATTCATCCCAGTTCTGACTCCACAGCCAGCTTAACTAGTACACACCCATGCCCCAAGTCAAAAAACCAAGGGATCATCCTTCTCTCATTAATCCTATCTAGGCACTTATTCAGCCTCCTAGTCATAACCTCCTAAATGCCACATCATCTCTTCCCACTGCCTTCACAGAGGATGACATAGTAGCATTGGCTAAGTCCTTACTGTATACCAAGCACTGTTCTAAGTAATATACATAATTTTTTCAAATCTCCAAACCCTACCAGATAAAGAACCTCAACAGCACAGAGGTTGCTCAGTGGGTGACAGAGCCTATCCAAATCTAGACAGTCTGAATCCAGAATTCTTCAACACTTAATTCCTACATTGTAACAGCCTTCTATTTTGTCTCTCTACCTTTCAGCTAGACCCCACCATCCTCCAGACTGCTGGAATACAAATGTTATCATGACATCCTCCTGCTTAAAACTGGCAGCTCTGTATCCCTGACTAGATAGAGCCCAAATGTCTTAATGTAAAATACAAAATCCTTCATTTTTCTGCTCCAGTCAGTTCAATAAATATTTGAATGCCCACTGTAGGCAAGGCAAAGTGCCATGTGCCCTGAAATGAGTAGCACCAGTCCCTGGCTACTACTTCAACCCCAGACGTTGAGTCCTTCAGCCAGACTAGCCATATGCAGATCTCACACACAAATACCCTAAAGACATACATATTTAGAATGTACTTGGCAAAATTCCATACTCATCTAAGGAGTGCCTATGTGAGGCCTTCTCTAAACTAACTCCAGGCAGAAATATTCTTTTAAATTCCCACAGCCCTTTTGTTCAAACTATCAGCTAGCTAGTGGAACAGAAGTATGGATTAGCTACTCTAAGGGACTCTGAGCAAAAAAGTGACCCTTGGCATGCATGAGACACTTTAAGAGTGGTTAAATGAACAGCTAATGAAAATTTCAAATTCTATGAGACTGGAAAAGACACAGAAGACAGGAAAAAGATACAGATATTGAATGTTAACGTGCAAGCAGGCTGGGCTGACATTATTTTAACAGTAGTGTTAGTCTACAGGGGTTCCAATTTGGCCTACATTTTAACCCTGTGGGAAAACTCACATGTGGGATTTGGACAAGCTGAAAAGGCAAAACTTTGTTATTCCTGGCTTAACAAAGCTTTGAAAGGCCAAGCAGGACACTAGATTCCCCCTCCCACTCTTCCTTCTTTACCTGCCAAAGTCTTTTTTTCTTAAAGGTGTGTGTTGGGGGGTGGGGGGGAGAGTCAAATCTATCAAAGTAAACAGAATTGATTTACTGAAATCCAACGTCATCAGTGCTGTGTCACAGTATACACGCAAGAAGAAAATCAAAATCTGTCCCGGGAAGAGGGCCAATTCCCAAGTAAGAACTACTGCTAAAAGAACGTGAAATTCTTAAAGTGAAGGCAGTTTCAATAAATTAGAGCTCACAACTGTTTCCTCCAACTGCACTGCCACGGTTCTCACTCACTTCGTATCTTGAATTCTGTGATTTTTCAGAAAGAAAAATCTATACAGTGAAGTGTACGTCTGGATCCACAATCTTAAACATAAACTGAAATACTACAAGAAACCCACCACTAAGTCATCAGTCCTGGTCTAAAACGTGGCACCAAGCTTTGAAAGGCGACTGATGCATTTCCTGAGCGGTGCTTTGTGTGCGAATGCCTCCAAATCTACACATGGAGATTACTCCCTGCAAGATGTCAAGTCTCTCCCCACTGCCTGCAGCCTCGTGGGGAAGGTGAGAATTCTCAGGCAACAGGCGGGGAGGACGACCTCTCCCATCCCTTCCCAGAAGAACAAAATTCAACCTGAGGGCAGCTGGTGCCGCTCGGATTCCCAACAGCACACACAAACACAAAACAATAATAAAAACCAAACAAAACACAACGCAAAACTCCTCCCTACTGCTCCCCTTCCTTAGAAGCAAACGACGCAAAGATCTGTACCGCGGCGGCCGGAACCACCCAAGGCTAACAGCCGGGGCAGCCCGCCTTCCACGCGCCGACCCACAGGGCAGCGCCTCTTCGAGCCCCGCAGCCCGGGCGAGCCGCGGAGGTCGCAACTCCGGCCACGCAGCGGCGCCGCTCCGACCGCCTCCCGGGGTGCGGCGCTACCCCACACCCCGCCGCCGCCCGTACCTGAGGCAGTGCCGGGAGCCGGGAGAGGGCACCCAGAGGAGCGGACAGGCAAAGTTACTCACAGGGAAAGCGCGGCTGCCCGGAGCGCGCACGGCTCCCGGCACAGCAGACCAGCGCCAGCTCCCGCTCCCGCTCTCCGCGGTCCGCTAAGGGAGAGCCGGGAGCTAGACGGGGTCCGCTCGGCCGGGACTCGCCGCCTCCGCGGATTTCCTGGCAAGAAGCAAACTCTGGCCAAGACTTCACTTCTCAACCGCCCCTGCTGCCTTCCCGGGGGCGAGCGCCAGTGCCGAGCAGTCCAACCCGACACGCACCTGGGCCAATCGGCAGCGGTGGAGGGCGGGGAAGGGGCGGGCCCGAGAGCGACTTCACCTATCCGAGAGCTCAAGGGGCGGGCCAGAATGGACAGTCACTCCCGGGTTAGAGTGAGCCCACTCCGCCCCTCGCCGCCTGCCCTCCCCCACCACTCTGGGCTGTCCCTGTCGCTCGCCTGATTCCCCTGCAGAAGACGCTGGATAAGTGTCTCTGCTCACCCGGAACAGCTGGGGAGGGAGGAACGTGTAGGGGGTCGGAGGGGGAGTGGAGGAGAGCAGGTGGCGCAGGAAAGCTGAAATGTAGGTGTGTTGGCCAAGAGGACAGCTGGGGTAGGTAGGGCAGGGACGAGCTGACCCGGGTTAAGAAGGGCGGGGAAGGAAGAAGGGGTGGTCACCGTGGAAGAGCACCTGAAGGAACGGAAAAGGGGAGGTCCTAAGCAAGGAGGGCGGCGGAGAGCGAGTCGGGTGATAAAAGATTGCCGGGGTGTTGGGGCACCTAGGAACAAAGGTGAGAGGGAGGTTCTGCCAGTGAGGGCCAAAAGGGTAAAGAGAAAAGGAAGTCAATAGCGGAGGAGGACTTACTCTAGGGCAGAAAGGACTCTGAGAAAGAAGGCGATGGGGAAACAGCTTTTCTCCCAAACTTCAGTCTTTACCCCAAGAGAGAAAGAAACTGTCTTTCGACCCAGTTGACTTGTGCAGCTGCAGGAACCCCGGTGAGATAAACACCGTCTTAAAACATAAGTATTCTGTTTTGAAATTCACCTCCGCAATTAGCCCCCTCCTTTGTGAAGGTGTATTGATCAACTGTAGCCTAAGCCTGGTATCCCATGAGAGGCCCCTAAAGACTCAGGTTCTGGAAAGAGCCAGCCCAGGAGCAATCCAGTCCCCCAGGGTCTAACAAAAGCCCGACTCAGGCCCTAAGAAGGAAGGAGATGTGAAGGTGGCAGGTGAGGCCCCGCCCCCTTCGCCACCACCTGGGGAAAGTACCAAAGGCTGAACCCCAGCGCCCACGGGCCTGTCTGAGCCACCGTGGAAGCCAATGCTGGACCCTCGGCCTCCGTAGGGCGGGCTTGCTGAGCGAACTCCAGGTGAGCCGCCCGGCCGCGCGCGCCTTCCCCACGCCGGGGGCGGGGCCTAGGGGGTGGGGCTTGTACTGGCCCCGCCCTCCAACTGGGCTGTGCCGCCGCCGCTGCGGCTCCGCCCTGCTCCTTCCGTTCTCCGCTTCTTCCGTCGGTCGTTTCTTCCTTCCTGCTTAGCCCGCACGTTTCGCGGTATGGGGCAGAGCCTTCGGTCCGCCAGCACCACCTGAGGATCCTGGAAACCACCCCCGCAATGGAAGAGGACCAGGAGCTGGAGAGGTAACGGCCGAGGAGGAGGGCGAAGCGGGGCGGGCCGCGCCGGGCCAGGAGAGCGGCTGGCTGCGGGGCACGCGGCCGGACCCGAGCCCAGCCTCCGCGGCCTAGCCGGGTAGCTAGGCCTGAATGGAGGCGTTGAAAAGAGCGGAGGAGAGAGAACAGTTGGATCCGGTTGAGAAGAGGGGGAGGAGGCACGGATGTGTTTACATAGAGACGCCCAGAGTATGCTAGTTACCCGGGAGGGAAGACCAGTGGGTACACCAGTGTTAAGTTCTAAGCCGCCCACCCCATTAGAACTGCCTAGTGTAAAGTCGCACAGCAGGTCACTGCTCGGAGTGGCGGTGCTGGCGTGTTGAGTCAAGCCTAAGTTCCTGTAGCTACCGTCACGGCCCTGCTCTGTGCGACTGCTCCTAAAGCCCCTTTTACGCTGAATTCCCTTTCTCCCTCTTGCTTACTCCTTTCAAACCTTCCACTTAGTACTTTCCTTTCTTCTTGCAAATGGAAGCAGTAGTTGGGCCTGCACTTTGATAATATGTAGTTTCTATTTTTATATTAAGATCTGTGTTTTTATACGCCTGTCAACTCCCTTTTCATCTTTCAGCAGGGCCCACCCTATTCTAATCCTATCCTTTTCTTGTGACTACCAAAAGACTGTTTTTGCAAACATTTAAGTTTATGTTTTTCTGAGAGACTCCCTTTGTGGCCAATGTGGATTGGTCAAATGGAGTAGGGAGAAACTGGAGACAATAGGTATTTATGGATAGAAATTGTGGAGGTAGTAAAATGAGAGGCTTATAGCTCTGTGTAATTGAAGTGGATTAATGTGTTGCACTTGGGATGTGATAAATGAAAAACCAGTCACAAAACAATATTCAGTATGATCTCATTTTTATAACAAATATGTGTGTAGAAAAATATCTGGATTGAAGACCTCAATGGCTGAAGGCGAGAGGAAGACAGCCCTGGAAATGGTCCAGGCAGCTGGACCAGATAGACACTGTGTGACATTTGTGTTGCACGGGGAGGACCATACCCTAGGAAATGCTCTGCGCTACATGATCATGAAGAACCCGGAAGTGGAGTTTTGTGGTTACACTACGACCCATCCTTCAGAGAGCAAAATTAATTTGCGCATTCAGACTCGAGGCGCCCTTCCAGCTGTTGAGCCATTTCAGAAAGGCCTGAATGAGCTCATGAATGTCTGCCAACATGTGCTTGACAAGTTTGAGGCCAGCGTAAAGGACTATAAGGATCAAAAACCAAGCAGAAATGAGTCCACATTCTAGGCCCTTATACAGGGTACACGGAGGACTATCCCCATGATCCTGCAGAACCCAGCATTAAAAGTTTATGATTACCGCATGCTCTGTCCTTCAGAAACAGTGCTTCTAGCTGTTGACTTATTACAGCTGTTGGAGTTCCTGAAAGAACCTGTGTATTTGCCTAATAAATTCCCTCTTTTATGTAAACTAGCTTGAGTGGTTTCTGTTACTTGCAACCAAATGATTCTCAAGGATGGCTTCTCCCTCCTTCTTAATTGAGCCAACATTGAAAGTGAGAAAACTGAAAAAATCAGGGACTGGAACAAGAATTGTTTTTTTTTGATGGTACCGTGGGCTGAACTCGGCCTCACAGCTTACTAGGCAGGCACTCTACCACTTGAGCCACTCCACCAGCCCTTTTTGCATTGGCTGTTTTTGAGCTAAGGTCTTGCTTTATGCCCAAGTTGGCCTGTTTGTGCTTCCCTGTGTAACTAGGATGACAAGAGTGCACTACTACACCCAGCCATTGGTTGAGATGGTGTCTCAAGATGGTGTCTCCCCCAGGAGAGCCTTGAACATCCTCCCGATCGCTGCCTCTTGAGCAGCTAGGATTACAGGCTTGAGCTACTCAAGGATTTTGATTATGGAAGTAAAAGGAATATTCCTTCTTGACTGGGGTGGTAGTAAAGAGAGAGATGCAATCAAACATGATCCAGTAGACTGAAGTTGATAGACTGAGGTAGGGTCTTGGCTTCTGGCTAGGTATTTTAATAATGAGAATTATATCCTTTGCTATCATTGGTAGATTGGGCATGAGTGGGGAATAATGAGAGAATTGTGAGAATTCTGGTTTTGCATTAGCACTTTAGTTGGTGTCAAGCTCCATCTTTGTAGCGTTTTTAAGTTAGATGCTAATTTACTGCTTGAATTTCAGGATACTAATATTTAGTCATGGACCGAGTAAGCCAAATATTTTGAGTATTTTTAGAAGGAGAAAATGAGGTGACCAGATAACATTTTTAGTTCTTAGGTAGGTGTCTTATAGAAGAAGCACTATTTGATAGAAAAAAGGAAAATTCTGTGTGGGGAAAAATAATCATATATCAGATCATATCATACAGAATCATATCAAAGAGCCGTTCTGTCTACCTCTTCAGCCTTGTCTCATAACCATCCTATTCCAAATATCTGTCAGTCCTTGAGCCCAGCAACCCCTCTCCCCTTGTTCTGTGCTTTGGAGCCTTTGTTGATGTTCCTATTTCATCCTGGAGAGTTTTACCACACTACTGTAGTCTTAAGTCAAACCTTAACTGTCAGACTCCCTAGCCTAGTTTGGGTAGTTCTGTGTGATTTCATTATACTCTGCCTTTCCTGATTATAATGTTTACTGTGCTCTTGTTAGTGCTTGTGTTGTTAACCACTATACCATTTGATCTTCAGTGTGATTCTGATACCTGGAACAACACCTGACAGGTTTATTATTATTATTATTCATTTATTCATGTGTGCATACATTGTTTGGGTCATTTCTCCCTCCTGCCCTCTCCCCGACCTGAGATGTTTTGGGCACTTAGTAAATACTGAATGAATTCATATAGGTAGTTTTTCAGTCACTCAAATTTGACCTCTTCTAGCCTGCCACAGAGCCTGCATTTCTCATGTTTAGTCTACATCTGTTAAAGTTATTTCTGGAGCCAAGCATGCTGACTCATGCCTATAATCCCAGCTACTTGGGAGATCTGGAGGATTGCTGTTTCAAGTCAGCGTAGGCAAAAAGTTAGCAAGACCTCATCTCAGTCAATGAGCTGGGTGTGGTGATATACACCTATGATCCCAGCTATGTGGAGGTCTGAAGCGGGCCTTAGGTAAAAATGGCAGTCCCTACCTGAAAAATAACTGAAAAGGGCTTGGGGGTGTGGCACAGGTGGTAGAGCCTGCCTTGCAAGTGCAAAGCCCGAAGTTCAACTCTAGCACCACCAAAAAAACCCCAAAAGATTTCTGTATTTATTGAGTCTAGTTTGTACCAGACGTTGAGGATAGATTTGCTAGTGGGTGACAGACAGTAAATCCTGTCCTCATAGAGCATGTGTTATAGGAGGAGCAGCAGCTTTTTTTTTGAAGTTACAATTCTATGAAAGAAACACCTACAGAGTTAAGATAGAAAACATGAGAGGGATCTGTTTTAGGTATAGAAATTAGGGGACATCTCAAATTTACAGGAAAAGAAGAATCTGTCTGTACAGTATGGAGAGAAAAACATGTTGGAGTATGGAGAGCGTGCACAAAGGTCCTAAAGCAAAAAACAATCTTTAGTTTGAGGAATTGAAGGAAGTGAAAGATTTGCATGTTTTAGCATGCAAGAAGGGTTTGTCCTCTGGTTTCCATGGGAAGAAGAGCTGGGGTGGTATGGAGGTTGGAATTTTAAGTGTAGTTGGATTACATCTTGATTAAGTTACTTTGGTTACAGTACGGTGGTGGGGTGAATTTAGGGGATCCAGAGTAGAAGCAGAGGGAAAACTAAGAATTAAAGTGGTCTAGGAGTGTAAAAAACTAGTAATGGGGAAAAGAAAGTGGATATAGAACTGGTAAACCTCAGGAATTGGGTGTGGAAGATGAGGAAACAAAGATGACTTCTACCTAGGATTAGGACCAATTTCTAAAATGGAAGCTTAAGATGGAAGGTAGAAAAGATGAGAGAAGTCAAATATTCCATTTTGATCCTCATAAGCACTGAATGTGAGTCAGAGGCCATGTAAGGGTTCTAAGATAGAGATAAACTTTGTGAGTTGTCACGATAAAGATAATGTAGAGTGACAAGGAAGTGGGTTCAGGACCAAGTACTATATAATTTCAGTATTAAATGTGGGGAGATGGTAGAAAGTCCGCAGAATCATTCATGGGGCAAGAATGGAGAGTGTTCTAGGTAATGGAGATTCTGAAAAGCTAGTGTCAATGTAAGAGAAATAGTAATGAAGCAAAGAAGGAAGCACAACATAAGTTAATAGAAAAGGATCAAAAATTCCTTTGCCACTTCTAAAATTTTGCCTATAGATAGACCTGTAGGTGGATTTTAATTCTTCTGAATCTAGGCCTATCAGGAAATGAAATCAAAGTTCAATTAGTGGTCATAGAGGTATAGAATGATGATAGTAGACTGAAATAGTAACAGTACACATGGGAAATGTACCCAGTAGTGACCATTACCATATTACATGACTTCATTGCTCATAAAATATTTTGTCATTAATCATGGCATACAGTCTTTAGATTCATACAAAACAACTTCAGAAGGCAGATGGGTGAAGGGAGAAAACAGGGCAGGGCAGACAGGATAACCAAAAATCCCTTATGTATAGAAGGAATTGCATGAAGTCTGTAGGGACTGAGGGAAAGCTGAATTGGTCCAAAAAAGAGTAAGGGAGATGAACAAGAATCATACTATGAAACTGAAAAAAAAAAATTACTCAATCAGTATCTGATTTGTTCTGTAATAGCATTTTACTCAGACTAATCCAGTGTTAATGATTCAAGATCAGAAATTCTGCTCAGCTATAAAGTACTGTGCCTTTTAAAGAAGCGATCATTAAATAATATGATTATATACTAAAGGCTTTTAATATATAATAATTCTGAGTACTTGCCTAGCACTTTGCATTTTCAAAGCACTTTACAAACTATTTATAAATTGCATATAGCTGTAACATCTAAGTGCTCCAATTAATTGGCATAACACACAGTTTCATGAAAAATCTCTAGAGATGAGAAGGTATCTGTGTAAGAAATATCGATCCAGAAATATGAAAGCATATCTAGTTCCATGGCCCACAATTTCCCACCCTTCTTTTCATTTCCCTTAGACATGTTAAGATGGTAGTCTTCAGATTACTAGACAAAAGTCATCTTTTTAATTAGCATTATTTTAAATAATCTTTTTAAAAAATGTTATTAGCATATAGTAGTTGTACAGGAAGATACATTATGATGTTATATGTAATATATGAGTACATATGTGTTTATATTATATCTTAGAATCCCCCCTCCATCATTATTCCTCTTCCCCCCTTCTTAGAACAACTTCAAGTTTCATTCTGTTTTCATATATGAATACTAAATACACCCACCATATTTACCCTTATTCTCCTTTTCCTTATGCCTACCCGCCTCCCATTGATACCCACCCCTGGAAAAGACCTATTTTACCCTCCTGCTCTCCATTTTTTTTTTTTTCAAGTGTATATTGATAGTGCAAGGAATTTTAATCTTGGTACTTCAGGCCTGTATGTATCATGCTTTAATCAAATTAACCCCCCCATTACTTTTTATCAGCATGCTCCTCTAATATTCAATAGCTTATAGTACTGTACATTATTTTTACATATAGATGGGCTGCTTCACTATTTTTCATTCTCTTAACATTTTCTTTCTTCTGCCTCCTGTAGTCCTCTAAGACAGACTCACTAATATGATTTTGTTCTCTATATATTATATGTTTGTGTGTATATATGATTATATATGTATCTATATATACATTTAACTTACAGGTCCAGCTTCCACACATGAGGGAATATATGTGACCTTTGATGATCTTTTTAATACCCTTCAAACTGGCTCTCCAGAAAGTTTATCCAAATCTATCAGTCTGCTGTCAAGGATGTATAAAGACTTCCTTTTTCTGCTCAAATTTTTAATGTTGGTTTTTCTTTTGCTTCTTAAACTTTATAAAATGCCCTGATACTGTGTGGGTTTTTTTTTTTCCAATAATGAAATTCCTCCCAAGTCTGGACTATTGAATGTCAAATTATATATATAGCAAGTATGTACCTAAAAGTAGCAGTCCTGAGAAGTAATAGAAATAAGAGAGTGTAATATGAGTCTTCTAAAAAGCCTTCTGTGGTTTTGAACAGGGCACATGAGTTGCACACATGAAAAAGAAATTGTATTTACAATAAGGTGCCCTAATGTGCAGTACTGAGTAGTAAGTGCCAAATGTAGAATGGAATGGATGAGACACTGTTGAGGTTCCACTCTGCCAGTCACTGCCCTAGGCACTGAGGATAGCAAACAAGACAGGTGTAGTCTGCCTTCCAGGAACTCATATAAGATTGAAGTTGGTGGACTGGTAAAATAAATACAGTGTTCAGGCTCTTTCCCAGTGCAAAGGAGCCATACAGTTTTAGTTTTTCATCTAATTCCTATGAATGAGTGGAAGA